CTATTATTTCTTTTGTTTAATTTCTGTGGCTAGGATTTCCAGTACCATGTTGAATAAGAGTGGTGAAAGTGGACATCCTTGTTTTGTTCCTCACCTGACCAGAAAAGCTCTCCAATTTTTTCCCATTGTGTATGATTTTGGCTGTGGGTTTTTCATATGAGGCCTTTATTATATTGAGATATGTTAGCTCTAGACAGACTTTGCAGAGGATTTTAATCATGAATGAAAATTGTACTTTGTAGAAAGCTTTTTCTGCATGTATTAAAATGTGTTTTTTTTATCCTTTCTCTTATTGCTGTGACATATCTTGTTGAATGTTTTGCAAATATTGAACCACACTTGCATGCACAGAATAAATCCCACTTGACCATGGTGTATAATTTTTTTTAAATATATTGTTGGCTTTACTTTTCTAATATTTTGTTGACAAGTTTCTCATATTAATGAGAAATATTGGCCTGTAGTTCTCTTTTTTGTGATATCTTACCACAGCAATCTTCAGAAAGAAGAACAAAGCTGGAGGCATTATAATTCCTGATTTCAAACTATATTACAAATCTATAGTAATCAGCAGTTTGGCACTGATGTAAAAAACAGACACACAGATCAATGGAACAGAATAGAGAGCCTAGAAATAAACTCATAGAATTTGTTCAATTAATTTTTAACAGGACAGCCAAGAATATACAGTGGGGAAAAGATTATGTGTCCAAGAAATGGTTTTTAGGAAAATTGGGTATCCACATGGAAGAGAATGAAATTGGACCTCTGTCTTCTACTTTACACAAAAATCAACTCAAAATGGATTAAATCTTTGAACATAAGACCTGAAACCATAAAGCTCATAGAAGAAAATCTAAAGAGTATGCTCTTTGACATTAGTCTTGATAGTGAATTTTTAGATTTAGGAACAAGAGCAAAATTAAGTGAGACCATATCAAACTAAATAGTTCCACACAACAAAGGAAACCGTTAACAAAATAAAAAGGCAACCTACTAAGTGGGAAAGATATTTACACTGTTTGTGGAAATGTTAACCTGTATAGTTGCTATGGCAAACAGCATGGAGGTTCCTCAACAAATTAAAAATAGAACTACAATAATCCCACTTCTGAATATATAGCCAAAGAACACAAAATAATTATCTGAAAGAATTGCCTGTACTCTCATATTTATAGAAGAATTATTTATAATATCCAAAGTATGGGGAAAACCTAAGTGTCTATCTACAGATGTATGGATACAACTATATATACACCATGGAATATTACGCACCCTTATAAAAGAGTGAAATCTTGTCATAGGTAGTAGACATGAATGAATCTGGAAGCCATTATGCTAACTGAAGACAGAGAAAGACAAATACTACATGGTATCCCTTGTTGTATTGTAATATGTGGAATTTTAAAAGAAAGTTGAATTTACAACAGTGAAGAATATGTCACTTTCAAGAGTTGAGTTGTGAGGGAAGTAGGGAACAAGTGGTAAAAGAATATAAACTTCTCAGTTATAAGATGGATACAATCTAAGGAAGTAATGTATAACATGCTGAGTACAGTTGATAACAGTGCATTGAATAGTTGAAATTTTCTGAGAATAGAATTTACATATCTTCACACAAAATTTATATATATATATACATATATTTTTATATATGTATATATTTATATATACATATAATTTCACATATTTATATATGTATAAGTGTGTATATATATTTTATATATATGTATATATTTATATATATACATATAAATTTATATATATATGTGTGTATATATATATATATATATATATAAGTGTGAGGTGAGGAGTGTGTTAACTCAATGAGGGACCCCTTTCATGATGTATATTAAATCCTCATACTATATACTTTAAATATCTCACATTAAATGGTCAACTACATGCAAAACAATTTTTAATAAAGCAACATAGAAGAGGAAATCTGATCCATACAGTAACTAATTATGATTTTCCAGGATTTTTGCAGCCTTCGGAAGATAGTTTTGTGAAAATCAATAGTGGCCATTAATTTTAAATAAATGAATAAATAATTAAATCTCTTACATGCATAAATCAGTAATTCCAGAGGGAGAGGAGGATGACAGCAGAGTAGGAGGATCCTAGGCTCATGTTGTCCTATGAACACAACTAGATAACTATCAGATCATCCTAAATAACCCAGAAATTGACATGAAGACTGACAACAAACTCCACAACTTAAGGGAGAGAAGAATCCTCATCAAAGAATGTAGGAAGTACGGAGATATGGTTTAGGGGAGAAACTGATTCCAGATGCTACAGAGGGGAGAGAATTGTGGTCACAGAAAAGGATGAGAGAGAGAGAGCAACACACAAGGAGAATATTGCCTCAAAGCTATTGCCTTGGAAAACAAGACGGGCTGGATATCATGAGAACTTGCTTAGAACCTGTATTTTTTTTTTAAATGTTTGTTTTTAAGAGCAAGAGAGCAAGAGAGGAGGGGCAGAGAGAGAGGGAAACAGAGAACCTGAAGCAGGCTTTGCACTTTCAGCATAGAGCCCAATACCGGTCTCCAACCCATGACCCTTGAGATCATCACCTGAGCCAAAGTCAGATACTTAACTGACTAAGCCTCCCAAGTGACCCAAGAGCCTGGATTTTTAAAGGTCAGGATGCTTGCCTGGGATATAGTCCAGAGGGCAATGTGCTGCTCGAGAAGGCAGGCAAACCAACCAAAGGCAACAGCATGGAAGCAGCAATCTGAAAAATGCCTGGGGCACCCAAGAGGGAGATTATTCACTCTTGGGGCATGTGCCTGATGGGAAGCATTCACAAAGATATCTCTTCAGGAACAAAGGAGCTGGCTAGTGCCAATTCCATCCCCAACCCCTCAGCAAAAACACAGCCACCTACCAGAAGTAGCATATTGCCAACACTGGCTGCCTAACTTGCATACACCAGGCCCTAACTCCCTACATTATGGTGGGACAGCCCTTACCAGGCAAGCATGCCTCATTCCCAGCATGGTGGGCCCCAACCCCAGATGACCAGCAGAAACCATTGCCCATACCATGTCTACTGACCATAGTGTTCTTGTGGAGGTTGTGTCAGGTCTGATTTTACAAGTAGACCAGTGCAAATTTACATAAAACTTGCCACATTCAGACCAGGGAACAAACACTGCTCACAGAAGGCAAGGAGAGCCTCTGCAGATGACCAGCCTGAAGGATACAGCAGCCAAAGCACAATAGCAGAGCAGAGACAGCACACACCAGAGAAAATCCCTGAATCACCAGGTCCAGGACATTACATATTCTCTTCCTTAAGGAGCCATTGCTTTCAGGAGCAGGAAAAATAACTAGCTTTTCTAGCACAGAAAAAAAGACAAAACCTTAGACAAAATGTCAAGATAGAGGAATTTATACTAAATAAAAGAACAAATTACATCCACAGCCAGATATCTAAGAAAAAGATATAAGTAACATTCATGATTGAGAATTTAAAGCAACAATTATAAGGATAGTCACTGAGCTTAAAAAAAGTATAGAACACATCCAGGGGACCCTTGCCACAGAAATAAAAAAGTGAAAACAGAACCATTCAGAGATAAGAGTTCAATAAACAAGGTTACAAACATGCTTGATGCAATGAACAGCAGGCTATAAGTAGTAGAGGAACAATGACCTAGAAGACAAAATAATTGAAAGAAACGAAGCTGAACAAAAGAATTATGCAACACGAGAATGGACTTAGGGAACTCAGTGGTTCAATCAAGCATAATAACATTATAGGAGTGCCAAAAGAAGAAGACAGAAAAGGGGGCAGAAAATTTATTTGAGGGAAGAATAGGTGAAAACATCCCTAATCTGGGAAAGGAAAAAGACATCCAGATCCAGGAGACAGAAAACTCCCATCCAAAGCAAAAAAGCCGGCCAACACCAAGACATACTGCAATTAAATTTACAAAATGTAGTGATAAAAAATTTTTAAAGCAGGAAGACAAAAGATTATCTTCAAATAATCAAATAGCAATGGAGAAAAAAACCACATTTTTAATTTGATCACCAAATGCACAACTTTGATAATTGTTAATTTTGTGGTTTATTTTAAATATATTTTCGTGGTGGTTATTTTGAAGTTTTAATCAAAAATCTTTAATCATGAGTGTCTAATAAACAGTAAAAACAAAGGTAAGCCAAGAAATTGAAACAGGTGAAATAAGACAAATGTTCTTAATTTGGTGTTGTGTTTTTCAGCAGTTTATCAGTCTATTAGCTTTCATCTTCATTTCACTCCTCTTTATTAATTGAATGTAAGCATCCATTTTCTGCAAACTTCATACTAAGTGTACATTAAAAGATTTGCCCTGCTTGAAGGAACAGAGATTCACAAAAGACTGGGAAATTGGTTTTCTCAGTGGTGCCCCACATTTTTATGGCAGTTGAGAAAATTGTAGCTAGAAGATACCAAAGTACTAAATGACGCCACCATCCTACCACATTGATAGCTTTACTGGGGGTTTCAATATAAGAGATTATTTGGTGGATATAGTTCAGTATTATTCATTGTACTTAATCTAAAATTATTCATTGTATTCTGTGTACTTGGCGATGTGCTAAAACATGTAAAAATCAAAATCAAAATCATGATTTCAGCAAAAGAATCCTCTTTTGAAAGAAGACAAGTATGAAGGTAGTGGGTAGAAAGAGCAAAGGCTTTAGAGATTTTGCAATCATTACCTTACCATCTCTCTTTGATTACTAGATCCGTGGCCTTGGGAATTTATTTAAACTCTCTGAGTTTGCTTCCTTATCTGTAATATAGGATACTATTATCCATCTTACAAGATCTTTATGATCATTAATATTTGACACAGACACACAGTAAGTGATAGCTCTTATTATAGTGTTTTTATCAAGACTGATGGACTATTGGAAAACATGATAGTTTATTACACTAAATAACTTTGTTCATTGAATATTGTGTTAGGTGCTCAAACTGTGTTTTCTCCCTTTAGAGATGATGAGGAGAAAAAAAAATCTCCAACTGAAGGAACTGATGAGAAGGCTAATGGAACACATCCAAAGACCATCAGTCGTATTGGGAGTACTACCAACCCATTCTTAGACATTCCTCATGACCCAAATGCTGCTGTATACAAAAGTGGATTCTTGGCTCGGAAAATCCATGCAGATATGGATGGGAAGAAGAGTAAGCATAATTTGTTATTGTCATTTTCTATTTTAATTATTTCATCTTGAGGCTCAAAATTTAAGTGAATTTATCTGAAGTAAAGTCAAGGATAAAGAAAAATTATATTAGGTTTGTCTAGAAAAGTATTACTGAAGTTTGATGATGCCTCTAACCCTCAGAAATCCATTGTCATGCTTGATCTTCTCCAAGTAGAATTATAGAACTTCAGAAATGGAAGACCTCTTACAGATTATTCCTTTCTAGCTTTTTATTCATTTATTTACTCTTGCCTTCAACAAATAATTTTGAGTACTTATGTGCTAGGCATCAAAAATATAGCAATGAATACGATGGAAAAGGTATCTGTCTTCATGGAGTTTACATCTCTCATGGTTGTGGGGAAGAATTAATTTATAACACATAGAATAATCAATAATGTAAGATCCCAGAAACAAAACAGGAAGGGAAAGAATTGCAGTCTATGCACATTTGAATGATTGGCCTTTGTGGAAGATGGATAGGTGCAACATAGGCATGCATGGTATAATTAGTATTGGGAAATTAGAGTCCCATCTGATAGCTTTGTGAAGTATGAGACATAGTTACCTATAACAGATAATAGTGTTTGAAATTTGGAAGAAATGAAGTATGTTTCTGTGCTTAGAATAGCCTATGTAGAGTGAAATAGCAATTTGATATAGTTGAACAGGCTAAGGTAAGCTGGTATGTATGCTCACAATTAGTAGGTTAAACCTTTAGGGTATCCTTACCTACCTACAGATGCAAACATGCAGTGCTTGGATGGACATTATCACTATTTCCATCTGTGACTTTTTCTTACTGTGGTAGTACTTTCTGTTAGGTTACAGTCAAGAGAAAGACTGTAATAGAGTGGCTTTGGAACTGACTGAAGATGCTGACTAAGTTTCTCAGTTTTTCCAAGTTTCTTAGGAGTACCTCTACCATATTTCCTGTGCACTCTATATACTAGCCTACTAGACTACTTGATTTTTTCTAAGAGCATTGTGTCAGGACTCTTGTAGTTGCAAGTGACAGAAAATCTGACTGGCTTATGAAAAAAGGGCAAGGCCACACTTAAAATGAAGAATTATCACCAGGACACTTTATTATATTGTCTCTGCATTATAGTGCATGTCACCTGTATTCCTTACAACAGGGCTCTTTCACATGGCTAGATACATAATTATTAGCAGCATTACTTTATGTGTTCAATTTTGTCACCAAAGTATTCTTGTTTCCTAACTTTGAATTTAGGAATTCCTAAATTCCTGCCTAACCTACTTATACCATAATATACTTATGTGGCAAGATTCTGATTTGTATTACAGAGGTATGGAATACTGTGATTGACAGCACACACTTGGTTGAATGCAAATAGAAAAGTTCCCTCAAGAATGAATAAAATACAGAAAAGGGGATCTTTTTGGTAGATAAAACAATGGTATTCATTTCTTTGTTGCCAGCATACACACACACCCTTTCTCCATCCAGTTCAAATGGTGCTTTTGCTGAACCTAGTACAGTTTTCCATTTATAACCACAGATACACTCATTCTCTGTCCCACATGCCATGCCTGGAAGTGACTCTCATCTCCAAGATTAAAATTAGCTGATTGGTGTCCATTTTGTCTCAGATAGGGATGTAAATTCACTTATAGGCTAAATTAAAAATATACAAATGTCTGACATACTTCATGTAAAGTAATAGAAGCAAAAAACAGAATAACTGCAATTTAACAGTTCAAAAAAGCAAAAATAGCAAGATAGCTATCACTTATTCCATGTAATTTTCTACATTCTGCCTCATAAGGATAACAAAGTTAACCTAATTGAGTCTTTTTTCATTGAGTCCCTTCCCTAGCGATGGATTGACATAATTGGTTAGCTTATTCCAAAGAGTCCCCAGATTCAGCCTATCAATGACATTTTCTTTGTTTCATGTTTCCCTGTGCCATCTTGGAGGATTACTGGAGAAAATTCCCTTGCTGGAAGCTCTACTCCCTTATTAGCCCACTTTTATATGAGTATAGGTACAAAATCTAGGAGTTGCTTAGCAGTTGAGACAGAACTCTTATATCACACTAGGTTTTTCTGCCAATATAACTACTTTAAAGCCTTAGTTAACTCCTTTGAGTACTTCAGATTGATTAGGACAGTAAGTCATAGGACTTTTGTCTTTTTAGCAACCTAAGAATTTCTGCCTAGGTGGGACCCTCCCCTGGAAGACCAGTGACAGGCCCCTGCCCACACCACATCCCTAAAGCCTGGAATTTTAAGACTAGCAGGCTTGGCTGTGATACAGCTCAGAGGGCACCACAGGCTAACAACCTGGAGGCAGACAGTGTGGATACAGCAATCTGAAACACGCCTAGAACACACAGAGGGGAGATTATTCACTCTTCTCAGCTTGCTTTCCTGATAGACAGCATGCACAGGGACTCCTTTCCTTGAAGAAAGGAGCTGGCTGGTGCCATTTCCCTCCCCTGCCCTCAGCATAAACACAGAGCCATTTGTGGGAAGCAGCATAGCATCAACACTGGCTGCCTAACCTACTTATACCAAGCCCCACACCCCTGGGCTCTGACACTACTGCCCTTCTTGGTCAAGCTTTCTCCCATCCTAGCATGGTTCCCTTTCCATAGAACACCAGCAGAAACCCCTGCCCACACCATGGCTCCCAACCAGAGAATTCTGTAGGACTTTAGTTCAGGTGGAAGTAGTATCATATCTCATTTAGCAAGCAGACCAGAATATACCTAGTTAAAACTTGATTCTGGCCAAAGACCAAACACTGTCAACTGCAGGCAAGACAGACAACTGGCCTGAAGGATACAGCAGCCAGAAAAGAACAGCAGAGTGCACACATCACACTCTGAAGTACCAGGCCCTGGGCACTATATGATCTCTTTCATAAAGCCATTATTCTTAGAAGCAGGAAACCTAATGGAGTTTTCTAATATACAAAAGAGGATAGAAACTTAGATAAAATGCCAAGACAGGAATTTAGCCCAGATGAAAGAAGAAGACAAGGCCATGGCCAGAGATCTAAGAGAAACAGATATAAGTAACATACCTGATGGAGAATTTAAAGCAACAATCATAAGGATACTTACTGGGCTTGAGAAAATAATGGAAGACTTCATGCATGTCCTTACCAAAGAGATAAAAGAGTTAAAAACAGAAATGAAAAATGAAGTAACATTCAAAACAAGCTTGATGCAATGAACACAAGGATGGAAGAAGCAGAGAAACAACTAGGTAATGTAGAAGATAAAATAATGAAATATAGTGAAGCTGAATAAAACAGAGAAAGAAGAATTATGCAACATGAGAATATACTTAGGGAACTCAATTACTCCATCAAGCATAATAACATGCATATTATAGGAGTCTCAGTAGAAGAGAGAAAAGGGGGCAGAAAATTTCTCTAGATCCTAGGAGGCACAGAAACCTCCCATCAAAATCAACAAAAGTGAACCAGCACTAAGGCATTATAATTAAATTTGCAAAATATAGTGATTAAGAAAAAAAAAATTTTAAAGCAACAAGACAAAAGAAGTCCCTAACCTACAAGGGAAACCCATAAGGCTCGCTCAGATTTCTCAACAGAAACTTCCCAAGTCAGAAGAGACTGGCATGATGTATTCAAAGTTCTGAATGGGAAAATTTTGCAGCCAAGAATACTCTGTCCAGCAAGGCTATCATTCAGAATAGAAGGAAAGGTAGAGTTTCCCAGATGAACAAAAACTAATGGAGTTTAAAGCAGCCCTGCAAGAAAACTTAAAGGGAACTGAGTAGAAAGGAAAGACCAAAGTGACAAAAACAAGAAAGAAGAGAACATCTCCAGAAACCATGACAAAAGAAGGAATAAAACAGCATTAAATACATATCCATCAATAGTTATTCTGAGTGAAAATGGACTAAATGCTCAAATCAAAAGACATAGGGTGTCAGATTGGATAAAAAGACAAGACCCATCTATATGCTGCCTACAAAAGACTCATTTTAGACCTAACACAACTGTGCCTTGAAAGTGACAGGATGGAGAAATATTTATCATGCAAGTGGACACCTAAATAAAGTTGGAGTAGCAATACTTATATAGGACAAGGTACACTTTAAACCAAAGACTATAACAAAAGATGAAGAAGGGCACTGTATCATAATAAAGGAGTCTATCCAAAAAGATCTGACAGTTGGAAGTTATTATGCACCCAAGATGGAGGCACCCAAGTGTATAAAACAATTAATAACAAACATAAAGCAACCCCTTGATAATAATACAATAAGAGGAGGAGACTTTATCACCCACTTATATCAGTGAACAGATCATCTGTGGGAAAAAATTAAACAAGGAAACAATGGATTTGAATGACATACTGGACCAGATGGACTTAACAGATATATTCAGAACATTCCATCCTAAAACAGCAGAATACACATTATTTTCAAGTGCACATGGGACATTCCCCTGAATAGATCGCATACTAGGTCACAAATGAGACTTCAAAAAGTACAAAAAGATTGAGATCATACCATGCATCTTTTTTTACCACAACACTATGAAACTTGATGTCAATCACAAGAAAAACTATGAAAAGACAACAAATACTGGAGGTTAAACAACATGCTACTAAACAATGAATGAGCCAACCAGGAAATCAAAGAAGAAATTTAAAAAATACTTGGAAACAAATGAAAATGAAAACACAGTGGTCCAAAACCTTTGGGATATGCAGGAAAAGCAGTCCTAAGGTGGAAGTATACAGTGCTACACGCCTACTTCAAGAAACAAGAAAAATCTCAAATGAAAAACCTAATCCTACACCTAAAGGAAGTAGAAAAGGAACAACAAATGAAGCCTAATGCCAGTAGAAGGAGGTAAATAATAAAGATTAAAGCAGAAATAAATGGTATAGAAACTAAAAAAACAATGGAGCAGACCAATGAAACTAGGGATTTCTTTGAAAATGTTAGTAACATTGATAAACTCTTAG